CGCACTCCAGTCTGGGTGAGAGAATGAGACCCCTACTGAAAAAAAAAGCAAAAAATTAATGGAAATCAGTCATTTACCACCAAAAGGCCAAACACACTTACTAAAATATCAAATATTCTTTAAAAATTTAATCCTAGCTGGGCTCGGTGGCTCAGCTTGTAATCTCATGCTTTGGGAGGCTGAGGTGAGTGGATGGCCTGAGCCCGCGGGTTCGAGACCCGCCTGGGCAACTTGGTGAGACCTCATCTCTACAATAAATCAAAAAATTAGCGGGGCATGGTAGCGTGCGCCTGTAGTTCCAGCTACTTGGAAGGATGAGGCAGAAGGATCTCCGGAGCCCAGCAGGTCGAGGCTGCGGTGGCCGGGAGCGGCCACTGCACTCCAGTCTGGGCAACAGAGTGAGACTCCAACTCAAAAAAAAAAAAAAATTTTAATCCTGGTCAAGTGCATAGGGCTCATGCCTATAATCCCATCTGGGAGGTCTAGATGGGAGGACTGCTTGAGTCTAGGAGTTTGGGACCAGTCTGGACAACATAGCAAGACCTCGGCTCTCCAAAAAATTAAAAAAATTAGCCAGGTGTGGTGGCCTACACCTGTAGTCCCAGCTACTCGGGAGGCTGAGGCAGAAGGATGGTCTGAGTCCAGCAGGTTGAGGCTTCAGTGAGCTGTAATTGTACCACTGCACTCCAGCCTGGGTGACAGAGCAAGACCTTGCCTCCAAAAAAAAAAAAAGTTATCACTATTTGTTCACTATTTCTGTTTCATTATATATTTATACATATGTCCTTGACTGGCAAAAAGTGGGGAAATTATTAATAAATGCAGAATGTTATAAAGTTGTAATCTTTCAAAATAATTGGTTTATTAAGAAAAAGAATCTGCTGGGAATAGTGGCTCAAGCCTGCAATCCCAGCACTTTTGAAGGCGAGGGGATTGCCTGAACCCAGGTTCAAGACCAGCCTGGGCAACTTGGCGAGACCTTGTCTCTACAATAAATCTAAAAAATTAGCTGGGCACGGTGGTGCATGCCAAATGGTTCCAGCTACCTTGGAAGACTGAGGTGGAAGGATCGCCTAAGCCCAGCAGGTCGAGGCTGCGGTGGCCATGAGGGTGCCACCGCACTCCAGCCTGGGTGACAGAGTGAGATTCCAACTCAAAAAAAAAAAAAAGGAAAAAAAAAATCCAAGCTGTTCTCAAGGGAAGAAAGCTGGGTCATTAGACAAAATGATCTTTAAGGCAACTTCTATTCAAACTACTGTGAGCGGGTCCCAGCTACCTGATGACATCACCCAGACAGGCGTACCAGTGTTGCAATTCATTCTCTCCAGGGCTTTCACAGGAGGTGGCTTCACAGTGTGAGTAACCTAACATCACATTCAGTAAGGTACTCCCCTTTCACCCCTGTGCAGAGCAAGTGGGTGGGTTGGAAATAAAACCACCCAGGCTGAAGAGATCAGTCCCTGATAGATACGGATAGAGACAGCCAAGAAAAGTCATCTGTGTCCACAGACTTCAAGACTGTAAGGCCCTGGGTTCTGAATAAGTTTAACACATGAAACACAAATTTGTTTGTTTTTTTTTAAACTGGAGTCTCACACTGTTGCCCAGGCTGCAGTGCAGTGGCACGCTCACAGCCACCACAACCTCAACTTACAGGGCTCAGGCAATCCTTCAGCCTCAGCCTTCAAGGAGCTGGAACCATAGGCACGCACCACCACACCCAGCTAATTTTTTTGATTTATTGTAGAGATAAGGTCTCACCAAGTTTCCCAGGCTGGTCTTGAACTCCGGGGCTCAGGCAATCCTCTCACCTCCACCTCCCAAAGTGCTGGGATTACAGGCATGAGCCACCATGCCCAGTCATGAAACACTACTTTAAAAGTTTCTCCCCCAAAGCATGGCCATTTACTCAAGACAGTCTTATGCATGCTAATAATTTACTTCCCTGAGTCTCAATTTGTTCACCAAAAGAGTCTCTCAGAGGTTATAGAAATAAAAGGCCAATGGTCCTGGAAACTGTTATTTGACATGTTTGCTTCCTATAAAAAATATCTTTTTTTTTTGAATCAGGGTCTCACTCTGTTGTCCAGGCTGGAATGCAATGGCACTATTATGGCTCACTGCAGTCTCGATCTCCTGGGCTCAGGCAAGTCTTCCGCCTCCGCTTCCCAAGTAGGTGGGACTACAGGCACGCACCACCATGCCTGATTAATTTTTTTATTTTTTGTAGAGATGAGGTCTTGCTATATTGTCTTGGCTGGTCTCAAACTCCTGGACTCAAGTGGTCCTCGCACCTTGGCCTCCCAAAGTCCTGGGATTACAGTCACGAGTCACCCCGCCAGGCTTACAGCAGCATTTCCTAATGCATGCTCCTTAGAACATTCATTTCATAAAATATTAATAAGCATTTCATGGAAAAAAGTAATGTGGGAGGCAAATAAGTTTGGGACGTGCTAAACTAAACAGATTCCTGCAGAACTTCTCAGAATCTTTCATATACAAATGTACATTTCTAAAAATGGGACATAGTATGCAGTTTTTTGGGGTTTTTTTTGAGAGTCTCACTCTGTCACCCAGGCTGGAGTACAGTGGCACACTCATGGCCACCACAGCCTCGACCTGCTGGAACTACAGGCGCACACCACCACTCCCAGCTAACTTTTCTTGATTTATTGTAGAGACGAGGTCTCATCAAGTTGCCTGGGCTAGTCTTGAACCCCTAGGCTCAGGCAATCCTCTCGCCTAGGTCTCCCAAAGTGCTGGGATTATAGGTGTGAGCCACCGCGCCTGGCCAGTATGCAGTTTTAAAGCCTTTTTTGAAAACAGTGTACTCCTTCCTTCCGGGAATATCTCGTGTCCAAGAAAGACAGTTTGGGAAGCTTATCTTTCAGATGAGGATTGGCACGGCCATGTAAGCCATGTAACTTTCCCGAGCTTTGGTTTTTCCCACCCATTAAACAAGGACATTGATACTATCTCACAGTGTCATAAAGCCAAGATGGGCATGTGCAAAGGCTGACACACTGTGGGCCTTCAGCAAATATTAGTGCTCCTCCTCTAGAGGACAAGTTAGGCAGGAGGCGGTGGCACATGTCTGTCCTCCCAGCACTTTGGGAGGCCGGGAGGACCACTTGAGCTCAGGAATTTGAAACCAGACTGGACAGCATAATGAGACCTTGTCTCTACAAAAAAAAAAAAAAAATCAGCCAGGTGTGGTGGCAGCATGTCCCTGTAGTCCCATATACTTGAGAGGCTGAGGCAGAAGAATTCCTAAGTCCAGGAGGTCAAGGCTGTGGCAGTGAATGCGACCCTGCCACTGTACTCCAGCCTGGGCAACAGAGACCTTGTCTCAAACATAAAATAAAAATAAGTTGGGAGGCCGAGGCGAGAGGATTGCCTGAGCCCATGGGTCCGAGACCAGCTTGGGCAATATGGTGAGACCTCATCTCTACAATAAAGCAAAAATTATCTGGGCGTGGTAGCGCGTACCTGTAGTTCGGGCTACTTGGAAGCCTGAGGCGGAAGGATCGCCAGAGCCCAGGAGGCCAACAGTGGCTGTGAGTGTCACTCCAGCCTGGGCAACAGGGTGAGACTCTAACTCAAAATAAAAGAAAAAAGCCATCGTGGTGGCTCCCGCCTATAATCTCAGCACTTTGGGAGGCAGAGGCCAGAGAATTACCTGAGCTCACAGTTTCGAGACCAGCCTGGGCAACCTGGCGAGACCTCATCTCTACAATAAATCAAAATATTAGCCAGGTGTGGTGGCACGTGCCTGTAGTTCCAGCTACTTGGAAGGCTGAGGCAGAAGGATCACCTGATCACAGCAGGTAAAGGCTGTGGTGGCCTGAGCTAGCCACTGCACTCCAGTCTGGGCAACATAGTGAGACTCCAGCTCAAAAATATAAATAAATAAAGGGAAAAAATAAAATGAACCTGAAATTCTGGGGTAAAGATTTTAATAGTAACCGCTAGAAGAAAGTTTTCTATGATCTCTGGAATTATCTGTAACAAATTTTTTTTTTTTGAGTTGGAGTCTCACTCTGTCACCCAGACTGGAGCGCAGTGGCCGCTCCCGGCCACTGCAGCCTCGACCTGCTGGGCTCTGGCGATCCTTCCGCCTCAGCCTTCCAAGTAGCCGGAATTACAGGCGCGTGCTACCACGCCCGGCTGATTTTTTGATTTATTGTAGAGATGAGGTCTGGCTGCCCAGGCGGGTCTCGAACCCGCGGGCTCAGGCAGTCCACTCACCTCAGCCTCCCAAAGGCATGGGATTACAAGCTGAGCCACTGAGCCCAGCTTGTAACAAATATTTTTAACCCCCTCAAAGAACAAGGATAAGGCTGTGCATGGTGGCTCACGTCTCTAATCCCAGCACTTTGGGAGGCTGAGGCAGGAGGATCGCTTGAGTTCCAGAGTTCAAGGCCAGCCTGGGCAGCATAAGACCTCATCTCTACAGAAAAAAAAACAAAAATAAGGCAGGCATGGTGGCACGTGCCTGCAGTCCCAGCTACTTGGGAGGCTGAGGAGGAAGGATGGCCTGAGCCCAGGCGGTCAAGGCTGCAGTGAGCTGTGATCATGTCACTGAACTCTAGCCTGGGCAACAGAGTGAGACCCCAACTCAAAAAATAAAACAAAGCAAAGAACAGGAACAAAGCTGGGCTCGGTGGCTCAGCCTGTAATCCCAGCCCTTTGGGAGGCCGAGGTGAGTGAATTGCCTGAGCCCGCGGGTTCAAGACCCGCCTGAGCAATTTGGCCAGACCTCATTTCTACAATAAATCAAAAAAAATTAGCCAGGCGTGGTAGCGCGCGCCTGTAGTTCCAGCTACTTGGAAGGCTGAGACAGAAGGATCGCTGGAGCCCAGTAGGTTGAGGCTGTGGTGGCCGGGAGCGGCCACTGTACTCCAATCTGGGCGACAGAGTGAGACTCCAACTCAAAAAAAAAAAAAGAAAGAAAAAACAACAACAAAAAAACAAAAAACAGGAACAGTAGATTCCCTTACCTCTGAGAGCCAGGGGACAGGCTTGTTCCACTTCAAGTAGCTGCTATTACTGCTTCCACCTTGATCAATTTCTTGGTCCTACAGGAAGAATAAAGAATGAACTTAAGCCGGGCTCGGTGGCTCAGCCTGTAATCCCATGCCTTTAGGAGGCTGAGGTGAGTGGATTGCCTGAGCCCGCGGGTTCGAGACCTGCCTGGGCAACTTGGCGAGACCTTATCTCTACAATAAATCAAAAATCAGCCGGGCGTGGTAGCGCACACCTGTCGTTCCAGCTACTCGGAAGGCTGAGGTGGAAGGATCGCCAGAGCCCAGCAGGTCAAGGCTGCAGTGGCCGGGAGCGGCCACTGTACTCCAATCTGGGTGACAGAGTGAGACTCCAGCTCAAAAAAAAAAAAAAAAGAATAAACTTAGGTCGGGAGAGGTGGCTCATGCCTATAATCCCAGTACTTTGGGAAGCAGAGGTGAGAGGACTGCCTGAGCCACAGGTTTGAGACCAGCCTGGGCAACTCGGCGAGACCTCATCTCTACAATAAATCAAAAAACTAGCCGGGTGTGGTGGCCCACGCCTGTAGTTCCAGCTACTTGGAAGGCTGAGGAGGAAGGATTGCTGTGGTGGCCGTGAGCATGCCACTGCACTCCAGCCGGGGTGACAGAGCGAGACTCTGATTTGAGAAAATAAAATGAACTTGGTGGGAACGTCAGAATGAAACATGGGGGGCAGGACGGCATGCAGGGCCCCTTGGAAGTGCCTGTGGGGAGGGGCAAGGTCAGGAGTCACACTGTCCCTGAGCCCAGAAAGCCTGTCTGGTATTGCCAGCAAAGTTCCGTGCTCACGCTGGCAAGAGTCAGGACGTGCTGCTCGAGATGAAGCCCGCATGCCTGGAGCAGATCAGACATGGCATCTTCACTAAGTGACACAGGCTGAAACGGGAAAACCAGACCCGGTGGGAGCCTGGGGCTTTGGGGAGGCAGGATGGGCATCTCCGCCCACTCAGCTAGGAAGTACAGATGCCAGACTAGGATGCCAGGGGCTGTCTCTCTCTGCCTCCCATATGGCACTGAGTATCAGAGGTTTTCCCAAAGGTCATCGAGGCAGGGCAACAGAGGGCCCATGTTAATGCACCAGCAGGGAACATGGGCTGGCCAGACACATACCTGGAGACTCAACCTCTGGGGACGGTACCACTGGAGATTTGGGTCCACAGCTGGAATGTTCCTGCTGGCCAGAGCCTTGGCCAGTTCTCTCCAGCTGCCATGCCCTGTGGGAGGGAAAGAAGAGAGACACGCGGTCAACAGAACGTGAAGATCTCAGACGCTGCAAGACTTGGGAGGAAGGGAATCATCTTCCCCTCTTCTGCCCTCACTTTTTTCACGTGGTGCGTGTGGAGGGGAGGGGGCAGGAGACCGTTACACGCTTGGCCAAGGTCAGAGAGGAGTTGAGCTGACATCCTATGAGCAGTTGCGGCCTTCCATAAATCAGAGAAGGAGCCAGCCGGGTGAATGCGGACCACAGCCCTCCCACTGCCGACCCCCTGCAGGCTGACTCTTCCGGAGTCATGAAAGGCAGTAAGCTCTTTCCCTTCCAGCCCAGGAAAACAGCAGGGGGATCCCTAGCGGGGTGGGATTCTTCCCTGCTTCACCATTAATCACTGGGTTGCTGGAGGGAACCAGAGCTGGGGGAGCCAGGAACGGCTGGGCCTGGGCCTGGGCGTCTGTCGAACAGACTGATAAACTGCTGGAGGCCTAGGAAGAGAGGCCCAGCTCTTCCTGGGTTGATCTGGAGGCTGTGTGTGACTGATGTCTGCTCCCGGAGGGCTCTGGAACAGGTTGGCTTGCACACATCTGGAAAGGCGAAAAGCCAAAGCATGGCGAGGGGAGGGCAGGGACAGGAAACTGGGGTGCATGCAGCATGCACGAACAAGCACAGGGGCAAGGAGCTGCCAGGGGTGACAGCCGAGGAGAACCAGAGTCCAGTGGTCAGTCCCTGCTGGGATTCCTGGAGGTCTCCGGCGAAAAGGAGACTGCCTGGGCATGGCCGTGGGGCCTTGACTATGGGGAACCAAACCACCATCAGTCATAAACCGAAATCATAGAACATCTGGAGCTCAAAGGGGCTTTCAAATTCTCTAATCTTCACATCAGATGTGGAACCGGGGACCCAGGCTGGTCAAACGACACATCTAGTCTCACTTAACAAGTAGTGACAAGGCTGAGACTAGCACAGATGGACTTCACCGAGTTGTTACTGCCTCTCCAAAAGCTTCATCAACACGCCCCTGTTTCAAGACTAGCCTGTGTAACATAGTGAGATCTCGTCTCTACAAAAAACTAGCCAGAGCCGGGCTCGGTGGCTCAGCCTGTAATCCCGCGCCTTTGGGAGGCTGAGGTGAGTGGAT